TTTTTTTTCAAAATATAGCCCGTTCTTTGTTGAATACAGATATGTAATTAGAAATGTTTCATCGTTTCTTGGTTTTCTAGGAAAAAGCTTTTTCCCGACCAGTGGATTCAAAAACCATGGTTTTCTAGAAAACATACTTCCGAGCATTTTCGAGAAAAGTGTGCGCTCGACAAAAGAAAGAGCATGGTCTGAAACCCGTAAGTTCCAGATAATGTTACATTCGGTCAAGACCAAAAAAAGCTAGTCTAGACCAACTTTCGAATGACACACGCCTATTACATTGTTTTTAAAATCTATTTTACATTTTATATGAATATTTATTTTATTTGATTTCTATCGATCAATATTGTTATAAAAACAACTAGAGTCTACTTTACTCAATAAAATCAAGCATAAATACATTAACAAACACATTATTTGATCTTGTTTCTACCTACTCGAAATTAAATCTATAATTATATGTATCTGAATTATCGAGAAGAGAAAGTCGAGCGGTTTGAAGTTGTTGAAAAGCAAAAATTATCCTCGATTATTGATTGTTATTTTGAATATCTGTTGGAGTTATGAATGTCATTACAGAATAAATCAAATTAGTGAAAAGAAAAGTTGACTACACAAATGTGCAATAAATATAATGATTCAATGTTGTACTTTGAAGTATTATGAGTATTATTAGCTGCTAACTTAGGACAATCAAAAACTATTATCCATTTCAACAAAGAATCAACTCAATTGTTTATTGAATAATTTGACATCCCGCTGATAGCTATCGAGCTCTGATTTTCGCAGTTAGAAAGAGCGTGAGTTGGAACACAAGTTTACCTAAAAATCAAAATACTTGAAAAGTTTTCTAGGAGGTTCCAGGGATTTTTTGTAAAATCATTATCTGATTCGCTTGATTAGGTGTGTTTTGAAGTGAAATTGAAAATCCAATATATCGAGAAAGGAACATCCTTTTTTGACTAAAACCTTTATGATATTCTATGGGACATTAGAGCTATCTATGTCGAAATTCTGTAATTCTATTTTTCGGTAAACACCTAGGAAATGGTCGAAAATTCAGTAAAAATGATCATCATTTTTTAAGGAAAGGCCGAAAACGTCTAAAAATGTTGGGTTTTATAAAGTAGACAATGGGCTACAATATGGCAAAATTGAAATTGAAAATATGCCTAATTAAGCAAATCAAACAGTGATTTTACAAAAAAACCTTTGGAACCTCCTAGAAAACTTTTCAAGTATTTTGATTCTTAGATAGACTTGTACTCTCATTCCTGCTCTTCCTAAAGATAAAAAATCTGAGCTCGATAGCTATCTACGTTACCGAGTTATTCAACAAACAATTGAGTTGATTCTTTTTTGAAAAGGATAACAAATTCCAAGGTAAAGAGTAAAAATCTTAAAGTAAGTAAGAGAATCTTATATAACGTGCAACAGTGATAGAAACTGGCTTTTCGGACATTTTATCATCCCTAGAGGGATTGAAAAATATTTAGATGCGATAGCTACTTTTGGACAATTTTAGGCTTTGCTTGACAAAAAAAAAATAATTAAAAATAAATAACAGTGTCGACATCCTAGCTGTTAGCTAATGCAAAGATATGATAGATATCTCTTCGACAATAATATGGTATGTCATGTTTTTTATCAATTAGCTGTTATATTTTTTATTTTATTTGCTGGTGAGAAAAAAAAAAGAAGTGATCATTACTAATGTCATATATCTGAAAAAAATATTCTTCACAAAAGTCACTATCTCTTTACTTTACAAATCTATGGTAAAAAAATTTAATCAAAACGCAACTTGTTTTTTTTCGTTGAAGGAGAGAGATTCTTTTTGATTGTTCAATAAAAAATCACCAATGACAAATTTTTCTCCTCGCTATTTTTTTCTCTTCTTAATATGTGTCTATTATAATTTTTATTGAAAATAAACTCGAATATTATATTAGATATCTATTCGTAGTCGACTCGTTGTCAACATTAAAAATACTAAATTCATCGTCATTATGATATTCGATTAAGATCATATAAAGAAAACAAAAAGAGAAGGTAAGTCAATATCTTAAAACATATGTAGAAGTTTTCAAAAATAAAAATAAAAATAAAGAGAACAAATTAATATATGATCCATCTTGTTTATTTGATGTTAAATCGCATGATCATGCTATTTGTTTAGATAAGCAAGTGTCCCCACTGTTTTTTTCTATTTATAAAGAAAAAAATATATTGTCTCGCTTATTTTTCATAGATAAGCTATTTTCTTCCCCCTTCTCTCTCTCTTCCAATCGTAAAAGAAAAGATAGAATATCATAGTGTTCAAATACAAGTAAAGTTGACGTTAAATAGCAACCGGTGTCCAAACAATCATTATCAATTGGGCTTCTTATTTGACATTCGACAAGAGACGTTGCATCTGAGCAACAATCACAATTATTGATAAAGAGAGAAAAAAAAAGAAAACAATTCTCAACACATTCCTTTTACTTAGATTTGCTGTGTTTTTTTTTTGTTTCTAGTACAAAATGTTATGTTATGGATGTCATACATTAATTGATGATCCATATTATTTAATGATTGTTGATCGTAGTTGGCATTTATCATGTTTAAAATGTATCAATTGTGGAATATTACTTGAACAAGAATCAACATGTTTTTCTAGAGAAGGAAAATTTTTTTGTAAAAATGATTATATTAAGTATGTTTGTTCAATTCTTTTTTATTTTATAAAAATTCTTTTTTTTTTGTTTCTTTAGAAAATATTGTTCTCATAATTGTACACGATGTAATAGAATAATTCAACAAGATGAATTAATACTTCGTGCTGAAGAATTTATTTTTCATTTGAAATGTTTTACATGTAATATATGCAATATTCTTCTTCATCCAGGTTTGAAGTTTCTTCTTTTTTTTTTTTAAATATGAATAATTTAAAAAACAAAAATATTTTTTTTTTGTTCTTTGAAGGTGATGATTATGGTCTTAAAGATAATTTTATTTATTGTCGTGATCATTTTTTTGATCAAGATTTATATGATTCACATTTAATTCTTGATGATTCAGGTTATCATACATCACCAAATGAAACAAGTAAAATAAAAAATTATCAACAAGAAAATGAAGAACATTTTGTAAATCTTTCATCAACATTATTTCCATCATCATATTATATTGAAATAGATGATAATTCATCATCAAATAATATTCATAATCAAAAACACAAACGTCTTCGAACAAGTTTTAAACATCATCAATTACGTTATATGAAATCATATTTTCATTTAAATCATAATCCAGGTTTTATATTTTTATATATTTTTTTTTTTGTATTTTAAATTTCAGAACTGTTTTTTTTTGTCTTTATGATTAGATGCAAAAGATTTAAAAAATCTATCGGAAAAAACTAATTTACCTAAACGTGTTTTACAAGTTTGGTTTCAAAATGCTCGTGCAAAATATCGTCGTAATAATACATTATCAAAAGATATTCGAACAAATTTATCACCATCAAGCAATAGCAGCGATTTATAAACTTATCTTTCAAACATTGTAATATCTTGTTTCATTAACTAGTCATTTATGTACAGCATATGTTCTATATCTTAATATATTCATGTATTATTCTTAACAGATTCATTGGATTTTTTTCTTTACTATTTCAATTATTAATCTTTATAGTAGAAAATATTAAACTGATCTATCCATATGTTTTAATGAGTTGCGGAGAGCCGACTCATGAAGTACTAATCTATAATTGCATTTAATAAGTTTTTAACACATGAATGACAATTTATAAAATCTTTAATTCTTTCGAATTCACCAGTATTTTATAACTTTTTTTTTAGTTGAAAAATCAAAAACTTTTCAACATAAGTATGTGATGATGAATGAGGAAAGTTATTTGTTAGGCAATCTTTTTAATTGAGTTATTTTGTTTTTTTTTGTACAATTCTTCAAAAGAACTGAAATTATATAAATAGAAAGAGTATAAAGTATGAGCTAGATTTTGATAACTAAAACTTTCTCAAAACAAAATGTCTATGAAATGAAGTGTTTAAAGATTATTTAAAAGTAACAAAACAATTCACATGAAGTCTTTAAACATTTCACTTCACAGACATTTTGCTTTTGCGAAAGTTTTAGTTATTAAAATCTAGTTCGTGTTTTGTACTCTTTCTAATTATATAATTAGTTTTTAGTTCTTTTGAACAATTATAGAAAAAAGAATCTCAGTTTAAAAGATTGTTCAACAAAATTTTAGTCAATAGAAGAATTACATAAGATTTTCGAAAAAAAAAATTGTAGCAGAAATACGCAACATCTTTTGAATACTTTATATTTTATTCAAGATTCTGTCCAGCTCCTTGAAATCTCTGATCTTAATATCATGAATGGTAAAAAATCTATTTTTACCAACAAACTGAATACTCATACGAGCTTAGATATTATCTGTTAGAATGCAAATCGACTTCTATAATAGTTGAGAAGATTTTGTTGTTGCTGTTTTTTTTTTGTTTTACCTGATTCATTTGCGTGTTTGTTTCTGACTTTAATTAGTTTAATTAAAAAAACGAGATCGAGAAGAATATACGTATGTGTCTTCGACCTAATAGGATGACTCTCTCTCGTTTATGGTAGTGTCATTGG